TCCTCTCCGGACGGGTCCCAGGGCTACTGCCTGGACTATGTCCCATTCAATTTGTTCAAAAGCCTGTCGTTGGAAGGGAAGAAAGACTCGTGGGTTGAGATAAGAACAATTTAATAACTAAACTACAATAATATTGAAAATAATAGCATCTTCAAATATACAAATGAGTGATACACAGTGATACTGCTCACCACCCGATGACCAAGGCTCAGCCTGTTACCAGGTAGTGATTCTGGAGCAGGAAGAGTCCTGAAACCGCACTCCCAGAACAAAGATAAGAGCCCAAGCGTCCCAGACCAAGAGCTGACCGAGGGAAGGAGGCAACCCAGCAAGAGGGACCACCCTGAGAGAGCTGACCTGGAAAAAGAGAGCTGACCCAGAGCAAAAAGGATCCAGAACAAAAAGGGATGAGCTTCCAGGGGGCCCTCACCTATATACTGGGCATGACGTGTGTGTTATGGAATAGACTATTGGCCACTTTGGGTCTTAATCCTGAACCTATGATTGAATCGCAGGCTAGCAATTGGGCTGTGCTCCCTCACAGCTTCCCCTGCACCTGCAGGCATGGGCACAGCAGAGAAGCTGAAGAGACCTTGAATGTCCTGGAAGCAACTATAAACATCACTGTTATCAGCTTTCTTCTTAGCACAAATCCAAAACACAACCTGTTAGCAGCTACTATGAAGAAAGTTAACTCTGTCTCAGCTGAACCCAGGACAATATTGCTTTAAAAGAGGGAAAGGTGGAGGCCTTGACCAGGAATTATGGGTTTTCATATAATAGCCTTTTTCCCAAATCTGGTGTTATTTGCTATTTGCAGTGTATGAAAACATTCATTTCCATAAAAGAAGGGAGGAAAAATTAGCAAGATAGGATTTTGATCAATACCAGTTCCTATTAAGTTTGATCACAGCACTTGACACTTTGAGCAAGTCTGGAAGTACATTCACAGAAAACTCAGGATCTTCTAAGAGTCTCTAGCAGTGTAAAAAGACACTTCTGACTTGGGTAGAGAAGTCTACTTTTTTGTTTGCCTTATAGTAAGGCAATAAAATGTATTCACTTAATTCTGTAATTAATCTCATTGCCAAACCTTCAGTAGTATTGTTATATTGCTGATTTATTTTAGGCTTTTTCTGGCCTTTCTTTTTACCTTGGCAGAAGGAATGGTGGTTTTATCAGGGTGTTTAGAGATGAAAAAAAAAATTAAAAAATTTAAAAAGTGTTTGAGATCATTGTATATGAAAATGGTCATCAGATGCCATCAAAGTAACACCCAGGGAGCTGGTGCTGGGATGGGCAATGTGTCACTTTTAGAAAACTCAGTGTTCATTTATACTCTCATGTGGACATATCAGGGAAAGTTGTAAAGAGCAGATTTTTTCAAGCTGCAGAAAATGAGGTTCATAAAAACATGCATGCAGTAATGACTATATGTAAAATGAGCAGGAGTGTTGTTAATGGTTCCTTCTCCTCTGGAGGCCCATACTACAGCATTAAAATGTGAATGGGACAGATGTAGACACATAATCTGGATGGGTCTGGGATCCAGAATTGATCTTCTGTTCATTGCACCTATTTCTTTTTGTCACTATATGGTTTATAAAAGAAAGTTTGGTTAATTAAAAAAAAAAAAAAAAAAAGGGATGCAAAACAACAAGCATTTTCAAGATACCTTTCCTAGTTTTAAACTGATTTTCTGACACAGTGAGGCTCCTTCTCTTCTTTATCTCTGAGGACTCATTCCCTTCCTTCTCACATAAGACAAAAATATTTCTGAGATAATTAATCAGGAAGACTCTGTTCTGTGCAGTTCTCATACTGCACTCAGCACTGGCGTGTTTGAGGGCTTCCCAGGAATATATTAAGTGATGTGACTAACCTCTGTTATTTTGGTTTGATTTTTTTTTCTCTCGTCTTCTTACCCAGGGGGAGGAGTGTGTTCAGTGAATTTTTTTGTTTGAAATTTAGTTTATTTATTTTGTGCTGTATACAGGTAAGTTGCAGTGTGTCTTTCTTAGAGAAACAAGGTCAAAGAAATGCACCTTGCACTATAACAAAGGTAGCACATTTTGTGAGAGCCCTTCATCCATGTGGGACTTAATTAACACTTTTAGCTCACTGGTCCTCAAGAAATCTCTGCCACATGTATAGACAACCTTTGCCCTTCCTGCAAGAAGTCCTAGTCCACCAGGGAGGAAGCATGTTCCTAGTCTCCATCTCAGAAGTGTCTGTAGTCACCTTGGGCTCAGGACATTGAGCTTCCTCAAAATAAAAACTGCCACTTTTAGTTCTGAACCTCAGCTCTGAGTGTGCACCCTCTGCTAGTGATGCAATTAGAAGATAAATCTAGAATGGCTATTACTGGATCAGAACTGATAAATTGCTTGGTTAAAAAAAAAAAAAAAAAAAGAGAGAGAGAGAGAAAGAAAAGAAAAAGCATAAAAAATGAAAAATGTGATGTTCAAATTAAAACAAAATTATTGTGTGTACCAAGCAAAGAGTTGGATAAAAGTGGGAGAAGGATAAGTTTATTTTATGGACTCTGATTATCTCATGGGAAACAAACTTCCATTTATATTTAGAACAGAACAATTTCTAGCTTTAAGACAGTCTTTTAATCAGCAAGCTCATCTGATGAAATACTGTAGGATTTACTTATATATCAAAGGAGTTCCCTAGGCATTTAAGGGATGCAACTTTACAATTAAAAGATCAGTTGTAAGCACCATTTGTCATAGTTTGTTTGCTGTGCTTTGGGAGAGAAGTTTAGTTAATAACATGTGAACTTGTGGTGTTTTAGCAGATAGTAAACTATTGAACTGTATTATAAGAAAAGCTTTACCATTGCAGCCTTCTAGAGATGCAACTATTCAGCTATCTTGGATCTGATGGTCTGTGAAAAGAGAACAGAGAAACTATTAAGCCAAGGTTCACGTCCAAGAATGGAATCATTTATGAACAACCTTTCAGGGCCTAATTCGCTGCTGAATTAAACCTCATGTAATGTCATTGAAGTCAATGAGGTTACGTAGGGCATAAGTCAGTGGAGCAAATTAGCCCTCTGTATTGAAGCCAAGAAACCAAAGGAAGGAGTGATCCAATAAAACAAAGATTAAATGCTGACATTAGATGAATGCCACTTTTCTTGGTATGGTGCATTCTTTGTGTCCAGTGGTGAACATTTCATCCTTCCCAGGTGTAAAATGTTACCAGCAGCACTATAAGGCAGATCTATAATAAATGACAAAATTAATGATTTAGTTCTGTTTTAATGCAGCTTCCGGGCTTCTAACAGGAACTTAAGCAGTTAGCAGACAACATGGCTGGCTGTAGTGTGATCTCCAAATCAAGTCTTGATCTCTTCAGAAGAGTTTCAGTCTGGCTTTTTTTTTTTTCCTTTGCTTTAGCCATCTCTCACCCATATAGGTGTTATAAGCTAGCATTCATAAGTATGGAGAGCTTTCTACAACAGAAATACCAGGAATATCTCTGTAAAGGCTTGAGTAAGTTAGGCATGGTCACTGCCTCAGGTATGAAGACACTACGAAAGAGAATGGATTTGTTTGCATTTTGTGTATATGGGTAATATTAAGGGCTCTAAGAACCCACAATATTGCAGTGATTGTAGGTGTGCCTTGGATTAATGAAAAAAAAAAATCCTTTTGCACTAATCAGCATTCATAACAATACATGGTCTTCTCTCTGATTTCACCCTTTTTACTGTCTTACCTACTGATTACTTTTTCTGAAATTAAGATCATCATCTCCCTCAGACAGAGATTACAGGTTTTGCACCACGCACATGGAGAGCTCGGTCCTGGCTGAAGCCTTTAGGCATTTTTGTTATCCCTATAAAGAAATAATTCTCACAGTCTACCATTGGGTTTGCAGTTCATAAAAAGATCTCTGTGAGGTGACCTGTACAGAATAACACATTTCGACAGAACACTTTTCACTACAAAGAGATCAAACAACCTAAATGCTTTTGACGTCCTACCATGCGAACTTCAGTGATGAGCTAAAGGATGAAAAACAGTGTGCTGGCAATCAGTAGAGAAAACTCTCCAGACCTACATGTAGGAGAAGCCGTGTAAAGCATGCAACACATGACACGTGCTGCTCCTCCAGTTATTTGTTCTGTTGCTTCTGGTTTAACTTCTCAGCAATGACAGAACTTGGTGGAGGGACTAGCAGAGGACTCGCGTGATACTTGGCCTAAGGCCTGTGTGATGTTGGCCATTTATTCCCTTTTTATTTTTTCAGGTGATAGTGTAAAATAAGCAAAAATAAGCAATCTGCCATGGTACTCAAGAACCACTCCAGATTTTTGTTTTCTTTTAATCCTGTTGCTTCTGTTTACAATTCACTTCTGGGCATCCTCTGAGGAGAAGAATTAAGGGAACAAGATAAGACTTTGCCAGCTGATGCAAACACATCCAGACCTGTCCAAAGGGCCGGATATGTCTTGAGGCTTGGGGACTATTGCAGATCTGGGAACAAGTCCCACTAATCCATAGCCCTAATTTTGAGTTATAAAATACGACTATAATGCCAGTTTACAAGTGCACAGAATTTGTCCACGGTTTAGCTGGTAAGATTCTGCTAAAAAACAAAGTTCTGCTAGAGCGTCAGGTTTTGTTGCATAGCAAATCTGATTTTGACAGAAATATTTATATTTTCAATGGCTAAAAGTCCATCCATCCAACCACACATTTAGTTTTCTGGTTTTCAATAACTAAAAAAAAGCCAACTTGGTAATGGAAAATTTTTGATCAATTTTTGGAAGTTTTATTGAAGTGTGTGTTTTTCAAGAAAGATACAAAATTTCCCTGTTTCCAGTTAAAATTACCAAACTGTTGTGAATAATTATCGTTATCTCATCAAACAGAGTGTAGCGAATTTTGTTATTTCTTTTTCTCCTGCTGCTTTTCTAAAACCAACTCTTTGTTTTTCTATTGTATTTGCTTTACATCTAACACTATTACATTTTGTTTCAGCTGGCGGGCTTCATCTATGCCTGTTATGTTGTGAAATGTATTACTGAAGAAGAGGACAGCTGTAAGTACTAAAGCTTTATTACATACAAAATAAATTATTTTTTTCTTTTTTTTTTTTTTTAAATCACCCCTCCACTGTGCTGGCTTTTGCTGACTTCAACCTAAATGCCTTATTATACTATAGCTAGAACATGCTTTCTGTCCATCCTTCTTGAACTAAAATTTGCAAAGGCCTGAAAGACAAAGGCGTTGTGAAATATGGCTTAAAAAATATGTACTCCTTTCTTCTGAGAAGACCATTGCAATATTTTTTTCCTCAGCTTATCTTAAGACATAAAATAAAAAAGCAAAAATCACAATTGGCCAATACAGGCTTTTTTATTTTTCCTTATTCCAGGTTGTTATTAACTATCTTCACAGTAATTGGTTACCACTGAGGGTATAGCTCTCCTGTGTTGACTTGTGTGTTGACTTGTAAAAGCACTTCTGGCAAAAAAATAGCTTTAGATCATTGCAGGACCTTCATTTATGAGAGGTGAAACTGTGGAGCTCCTCTTTGTTCCTGTTGCTCCCAGGCTACAATTATTTCATACAGATGTATGTTTGTGTTTCTCCTGCTTATTTATATCAATAGAAGCCTGTCGAGCAGAATTTGCTCTTATTACGTGCTATGGAGTCAAGCCATTTCATTTTTTCTCTACTCTAACCTTGATTTTTTGAAAGGGGCTACTGCAGCCTGTCAGTACATCTTGGGATTCATACGAAAGCACTTTAGAAAGAAGTATCAGAACTGCATGTAACTTTGATAAAATATACATGAATCCTAGACAGAGCTCTGCAACAGGAAGCTAAAGGGTTTTTATTTGATTGAGAGCACTGCTAGGGCTGGTGGGGGTTCCTTTGTGCGTTCTGCATAGAAAATAGCTGCAGCCCTATAATCTATTGGCAATACAGTGCCACTCTGAGCCATCGAGAAGAGATTTAGTGCTGAAACCAGACTTCAGAGGTCTTTCCGACAACATTTGTTTCAGTTGTCTTTGTGTTTCTGTGGAGGCAAGGAAGGCATAAGAGTAGAAAGAGTTTGGGACAGGAATGTGGATCAGGGGTATGTCATACAGATCTTGTCTTTTTAAGGAAGGACCCGGTCATATGTGCTTTCTGCTGCTCACCTGTTAAGTGCATTCACTATCCACAGAGCAGAAGGAGAGTGATTGCTTGCCCCCCAAATGAAATCCTGTTTAGTATCATTCTGCCCTCTCTTCTAAGGGCTTAACTCTTTTTTTCACTCTTCTGTAATGCTTTAGGGCATGATATAAGTAAGAAGTGAGGAAGGGACTTGTGACTTGGCTCACTAAACAAGTGCAGAAGTCAGAGCACATTTGAGAGATTTCTCCCGTGTTTTTTTTTCTGGCAGCAAAGCGCCATGGCCAATATGGTATTGTTTTCTGCGCACTGCAGTGGGAGCTCCCTGTTGTTCAGAAGCCACAGATTGTCATGCTTCTTTGAACCTTTTCTTGCCATCATCTTGCCTGTTTTGAGGCTTTTATTACTTTGTTAGTACACCTCAGCCAGGCCTCCTCTTTCAGACAAAGGGCCATCTTACCCATCTGTGAGCATCTCTCTGAGGCACTGGGACAAATCCCCACCCTGCACAATGAAGCCAGCACATGCTCAGGCACCGCAGCTTCACCTCTGGTGAGATTTGGAAGCATGGCTGGAAAAAAAACAGATAAAGGGAACTTCTGTGGTTGAGTCATCCCAACACTGTAATAATACTCAGATAGAATTTGGCCCCTCAAGGTATTGTAAAAATAAGGCAGCTTTAATTTCTACTGAGAAGCTGCATTTAGCAGAGAGTAAGAATTATTCTAATTCTCAGTCTCCTCAGACATCCACCCTGATGTGTGCCAAGCACTCACTGTGACAGCCAGGGGCTGCTGTCCATACAGATATCCTTTGCTCAGTTTTAATTTTCGATACTTTTATTTCCATTTAGATACATTTTCTTTACTTTTCCCACCCTTTTGGCAACACATCCATCTATTGTGCTCCTCTGAGAAGTAATGTATCCCTTATGAATACTCTAGAGGAAGATGCCTAAGTGTAACTTCCTCGGTACACTCACAGGTGCGGTCAACTCATGCAGACCAAGTGAGCATGAAGAAGAGCCTTCAGGAAAAGTAGAATATGTCCCAGAGCCATTGCTAAAGCCTCCTGCATGTGCGAGTCTTTGGTCTGAAATAACTTCAGATCCCCTAGCTGTTTCTTTTCTCATAGTCTCCTTTTCCACTTTTCCAGTTCTTCACCCCTGCATGCTGCTATGCAGCAAGCTCTGTGGCACAGAGGGATGAAGACACTCCTACCCACAGTGTACTCCCTCTCCCAGACTCACTGGGCATTGACTCATAGAGTGGTTTGGTTGGAAGGGACCTTAAGGATCATCTAGTTCCAACCCCCTTGCCATGGGCAGGGACACCTCCTACTAGACCAGGTTGCTCAAAGCTTCATCCAACCTGGCCTTGAACACCTCCAGTGACAGGGCATCCACAACTTCTTTGGGCATATAGCATCTAGCATAGCAGAAAAAAGCTTTGTTCTGCTATCCACCAACCCCTGCCTAACCTCCATACCTGGGAAGAGGTGAGGTTGGGCTCATGCTTGTACACAAGCAGCTGGTGTTCCCTCTGTGTGCTAAATAAGTGTCAGCAATTAAAGATCCTCTGGTAAAATGGGTCACCACAAAGCAACATTCCCACACTGCTGCTGTGCTTTCCCAGCTTCTGAAGTGGTCTGTGAAGAGCAGAGGAACACTGCTGTCTTCTCATCTGCCTCCATATTCACAGACATCACTGGAGAAACGCCTGTATGAATGGGCCATAGGAGCAACCACAGCCCAGAAGAGGAGCAGAAGAGGCAGAAACACTGAGCCTGGCAAGAGCAGGCAGCAAGACATGAGATTAGAGAATAAGTCATGCAACTTCCAAGAGCCAGGCAGGAGCATGCTCCAGATTTTAACCAGAGGAACATATCAACACAGCCCAGGGGCAAAGAAGGTGCCTCATCTTCTGTTGGCACAGAGCCTCAACTGTAGAAACACAATCAAGCTGCTCTTGAGCTGCTTCAGCTGAATAAGCTTTGCTCTCAAAGTAATTGGAACAAGCTGAAAGAATTACTATTTCTCCATTCTTTATGCAGATTTTATTAAGAGAACAAATGAGCGAGGGTAGAATTAAGCAAACATTTCACAAAGATTAACCTGCTCTAACCTCACTAAAGGATTAGGAATGGAAAAATACAGTGATCAAATCAGGGCCATAACTAGGGCTGAATCAGCAAGTATAGAGGTTTTAATTACACACCAAATAAATCCAGCAAGAGGCCCCCTAAATCACAGCACAATTCTGCACTACCTTTCATGAGAACAATCTTCTTCACATTAATTCTGTATCAAGTATTAAAGAGGAGGCTGCTTTCCCTCCTGGTACAGTCCCAAGCAGCTCTCTAATGCTGGGTGCACCAGAGGCAACCTGCAGCACCCATCTCCAAGGGTCAGGCAAGGGTGCCTTCTCTGGTTGGTGGTTTGTCCCTCCCAAAGGTCCCTTCTGCATCCTGTTCCCTGTGGCTGCTTAGGGAGGAGGAACGCTGAGGCTTGGAGCGCCTTGAGTCTCCGTCTGGGAAAGATGAGGCAGGATGGTGCCCAGCAGGGCTGCTGCCGACTCAACGCTCTCCTCTTTGCTATTGCCATGGGTATGCCTAAGCCATTGTTATTCTTACCTCATTAGCATTATTAGCTGCAGCAATTAAAAATAAAGCGTGAAAATGTCAGCAGTGATCATTACTTGGAGGCATTCAACAGCTGCAAACTTATTGGAGCTCCTCATTTGCCTTCCAAAATCATGTTAGGCCTGCATTTTTCAAAGGCTGAACATTATTTTTAATAACACCAAAATGTTTGTTTAGTGTACATTTCCTTACTAGCAGTTTGGCTCCCTGATATAAGCTGCTAGTGCCTTACTAAAAGAAAATTCAATGTATTTCAGAATATGTTATTAAATATGCAGATATTTTGTGAAAAACCCTGTAATGTAAGCAATAAAGCGGCATCCTTCTGTGGCGTTTTGTCTGTAAGCAGTTAAAAAAGAAACCTGGGTTACTGAAGTGGGAATTCTGCACTTGCCTTGCAGGCTCTGTTGAGGGGAAGGGCACTGCCTTGTTATTAGAGGGATAGCTTCAACTGGGAAGGAACTCCAGCCTAGAGAAAACCATCAATTCAATCTGTGTCCCATAGTGAAATCATAATCCAGAAGCCTCCTTTGCAGACCCAGACAGGGGGAAGAAACAGCATTTACATACCATAACACAATGACAAGGCAATAAGAGAATAAACACGCCCTGACTGACTGTTCCTGTAGTACCATGAGATACAACCTTTGCACTGTCTTACACTAGCAGGGATCCAACTTGCACATACACGATCTTCGCTTCTCTTGGCATTGTTTCCAGGCAAAATGCAAAGCAAAAGAAATTGCAACTGGCTTAAACAGATTCTTGCTGCATACTCCTTTGAGCCCAGATTTGGGGGATGTCTGGCACAGAAGTAAAGCTCTAAATAACCCTTTAAAATTATTTCACATCCCCCGTAAAATCTTGAATTCAAGATTCTATTTGAATTACTGAAAATATTCAGGAAGACAATACCGCAGATAGGGGATGTCTGGTGGTGAGCAATACAGCATAGCAATTATGTGCCAATAAACTCAGTGCCAAACAACAATCCACTCTAGGATCCTAGGCCTGACCTGGGAAGTACGAAGGTGATGACAAAGTTTTTCTTTTAAAAGATGATATTAAATTCATTAGGTGTGAGGGATGTGAAATTTTGACAAATATATGGGATGGCTAGAAAAGCCTTTTATATTTAGCTCTGTTACAGGCTGCTTTCCACCTCTGGGCAGGTTATTTAACCTCTCCATACTTCTTGTTTCCCATATTTAAAATGGGAAATAATGACAGGGACAAACTCACAGGCGTGTTGCTCCATAACTTTGAGCTTCTGGGATG